ATGACAATGAGTACTTGATAACATTTGAGAAGAAGAAACCTTGAGATGTTAGGTGGTGTTGCAGTTTATCCTCTTGATTAGAACGGAAATCTTTAAGAACTTCCTTAGTGGATTTGTACACATCACATTGAATATTAGTGTGACAGCTTAAAGATTTCCAGAGATCTTTTAAGGAATCATTTTGGTGACTCTTTTAATGAATTTCGGAGAATTGTTTGGCACTGAGTAAATTTAATAGAGGGAGGACAAATATTAAGACCAAATTTATTGCGTTCTAGGAAAACATTGCTCAGTGTTCCAGATAACGGAATATCAAGCCATTTTCGAACATAACCATTCACTACAGAGTCGAGATGTTCCGTCATCCAGGTTTTGGATATACTAGCTATAGTGAAATACCAGGACAATTTTGATAGGACAAGCGGCTGTACAGAAGAAGTTTGTGTTTAGGATGTAGTGGCTTTATATCAATGTCATTCATCAAGTCTTGTACGAGAGAGGACAATTCAGACATGTGTTGGTTGTTAGACATGTTGAAGTCAAAGAAGTGACCTAAGTAATGAAATGATTCACCCATTTCCACACAGGGAATTAGAACTCCATTGATCAAAAGTTTGGGTAAATATTGGACAGATTTAGTGCACAGTTTCCGTATTCCAAAAGTAGAACATTTATCAGCTCTTATTATCATGTTCCACCAATTACACCAGATTATAAAGTGGTTGATTAGCTGTTGATTTTCTGATTCCTGACCGCTCATGACAGCGGCATCGTCAGCGAACTGGAACCAGTGGATGGGATTTAAGAACTTAAGGGAAAAGCCAAATTGACGGTATTTTTCAGACTTAATATGCTGTAAAAAGTGTTAAAACACAAATTGAAGAGAAGTGGGCTTAGGCAATCGCCTTGGAGTACACCACGACCAACAGATATAAATGGAGTGCGAAATTAATTTGTAAGAATAAAGGTTTTGAAGCCAGTGTAAAGACTTTTCACCAGTGATTTGATATGATCGGGAATGTGGTGGTAATCAAGAGCGGTTTGAATCAAGTTGTGATGAACTTCACCAAAGGCGTTTTTAAGGTCTAAAAGAGTAATGATGAGTGAACGCTGTTTGGTACGAGCTTTGTTAATGATATCAGCCATTTGACCCGTGTGCTCAAAAGTTCCAGAAAGACCTGGTGTAAAGCCTGTTTGAATTTCCTGTTCAATGTAGTTGTTAGCGGAGAGGAAGTTGAAAATGGCATTACTAAGGCACGAGGTAACAGGTTGTAAAGTAATAGGACGGAAGTTAGCACGGTCATTAGGTTTTCCTTTTTATGGATGAGGATTGTGCAGGCTCACTTCCACTCGCTTGGGACAGATCCAGTCGACCAAGCTGTGCGTATAATTTCAGATAAATAGGTTCGAAGAAAAGGACATTGTTTGAAACAAATTATTGACAGTTGATCTAGGGGAGAAGGAGAATCAGACGCCTTCATTGTTCTAATCACATTTGAAATCTGTTTGGTATGTTGGAGGTTCAAGGTTAAACGGAATTACAGGATCTGATAAAGTTGGTATCCAGCTTGGAAGGTTGAAAACTTTAGTCAGATTTACTGACGAAAGAGTTCTTGCAAAGTAATCAAAACACTCATTCATGGAAAACGAAGGGAGGATTTCATCTTTTTTGTTGAAGATCTTTTTGACATATCCCCAGAAATTTTTAGAGATGGAATAACCA